CTCATACCATGTCTATTTATAAAGTCTTCAAAATTCAATTCCTTGTTGGGCAAGTATTCCCCAACTTGCCTACAAAGAGTTACCATATTCGTCTTCAACTCTAAAATATAAGGTACAATTTTTTCCCCAAATCTACAACCTTTTGCCCAAGTATTCACGCTTTCAAAACTGATTAGGAAACTCTTTCCCGCACCTTCCAAAATTTCACTGTCAAGTTGAACCAGTTTAGCGCTATCTGAACTGGTTCAACTTTTGCAGTAACCAAAGTCCACAACAAGAATCAACATCTTTAACCTCTCAGATCATTCACATGATTATACTATGTCTTCACATGCATGCTCTACCATAATTCCATCTCATTTCTTCATAGTTCCACCTCAACTAAAGATTTCTGTACCTCAAAAAAAACATTGTGATGAACTTGAGAAATACTCTAACAATCTCCACTTTTTTTTTTCTCAAATTCATCATTTTTCTTTTTTCTTCTATCTTCTCTATCCACCCCGTTGGTGTTCAATTGCTTATGCTTGACAACTCACCAAATTTCAACTCATCTTCTTCAATTACTTTTCTGGCTCAAAGCAACAAACCTCTTCTCTGCACTTTTCATATTTCCCTTTGCTTTTTTATTAGGAATTTAGAATAAATCCTTTCATTCTTCACACCTTTACCCCATCTTGAGAACTAACACCTTATCTGGCTTGTCCCCAAAACTTATTCCTCATGGTCTTCATCTTTATCACCTCTGCCCTATCTTGAAAACGAGCATCTTCTGGCTTGTTCTGAGACTTGTTCCTCAGGGGCTTCACACCTATTACCTTTGCCCCATCTTGAAAACGAGCATCTTCTGGCTTGTCCCAAGACTTGTTCCCCATAGGCCTTTGTCTTCAAACCATTAATTTTCTTCATACCTTCGTGTCATCATCAACTCTGATTAAATCTTCATAGTATCTCATGATCATCCTCTACTCTGACAAACTTCGCACAATCTTCAGTTCTGATCTTCAGGACCAACCACAGGCTCTGGACCCACTATTGGTTCTGATACCAGTTGTTGGGGAAAAATTAACTCACTCCAACTCATCAACAGTCGGCTATTGTTGAGAGTTAAATCCCTCATTTATCACACATAGCGGAAACATCATCACATCAACAGAAATATATATGGAGATAACAATCAAACTCATCCACGCATAACACAATGTTTTACATGGTTCACCCAACTCTAGAGCTACGTCCATGGAGAGAGATTTTCAATATTATGAATCAAGGAAGAAAATATACAACCCAATGTTAAAACCCTACTAACTCACTCATCATCTCTTTTGAGGCTACATGTATACATTCGGAAATTACATATACTAGCTCTCCCATCTCCTCACAACACTTACTTTTAAACCCCTTACATTTTTTTCTCTTTTTTCTCTCTAAACCTTTCATACCCATCTCTATTTATAGAGTCTTCAAAATCCAATTCCTTGTTGGATAAGTATTCCCCAATTCTAAAATAGCAGGTACAATTTATTTCCCAAATCTATAGCCTTTTCCCTAAGTCTTCTGGCTTCCAAAACTGATTCGAAAATTGTTTCTCACAACTTCCAAAATCTCACTATCCAGGTTGAATTGGTTCAACTTTAGCAGTAGACAAAAGTCGACGCCACACTTGAACCGGTTAAATGTCATTTGAACTAATTCAACTTTGGCAGTAACTAAATTAGACAACAACTCCCAAATCATTCATGTAATCAACACATGATTAGATTATGTTTTCACGTGCTCTACCATAACTCTACTTCGAATAAAGATCTCTTCATAGTTCCACTTCAAGCTCTTCATAGCTCCCCCTCAACTAAAGCTTTCTACACCTCAAATAAAGCATTATGATGAACTTGAGAAACACTCTAACAAAAATATGGTAAAAATCATATCAATTTTATTAAAACAATGATTTTAGCCTATGGTTGAGTCTCTACCATTTTTAACAAAATTTCAATAGAGTTTTCCCATTATTTTATAATTTTTTTAATATGTTAAACTAATTAATTATGATTTTAAAAATAAAAATTAGATTAATCATACATGAATTTATATATATATATATATATATATATGTATATATATATATATATATATATATATATATATATTTGATGCCAAAAAGTCTAAAGTTTATAGGGTGTAAAAATTTGTTGGAATTTGAAAAAGCATTTTACTTATTTTATTTTATTTTATGGTAATGAGAAAAAAAACATTTTATATTTGTGTCCCAAAAAAGTTTTACACTATTCTTGGAGATTGGAGACTTGAACCCCTTTTATTAATATTTTAATTGCACACGGATTTTTCAAAACACTAGCTTCCCCTCATGTGGGAGCAAATCCTCTACAGTGAGAATCCTATACGGTCCCTCATAGTGAGTTTTAAGTGGCCTATATTTTGCCACATCATTTTTCATTTAATAGCTCTTGAGGCAGCATTTGGGTGCACCAATTACAAAAAATTAAAAACCTTTTTCACCTTCAAAATAATGTATTCACATAATGCAAATTAAATAATGTCACATATAAACATAACTCAATTCGACATCTCATTTATGTTATTATTTGAAATTAAAGTATTTTAAAAACACTTTAACATGTTAATTTAAAGAATTTAAATCAAAATTAAAGTCACTTAGATTAACTTTAGACAACAAACAAAACACTTCATGTTTCCATGAATAATGAAAAAAGCCACTTTTTATTTATTTATTTTTTTCAAATATTAAAAAAGCATACACTTAGGTATAAATTATTTAACATATCTTTGAAAAATATTTGGCATATATTTGAAAAAAATTTAGCAAAATTTAATATTAATTAACATACTCACCACATTCACCATCAAAAATTTTTTTTTAGCAAAGTTTAATATTAATTACCACACTAACCACCTCCACCATAAAAAAAAGGTATTCATGTACTAAAAACTAATAGTCACACGTAAATCTAACTCAATTCAACATATTATTTATATATTAGGTATTTGGCTGTCAACAACCTTTACTTTTTAAGGGGTGATATTACCTCTTACAAATGGTGATGTTAATTTTTACAAATGGTGATAAAATGTTACTTATAAATAGTGGTGTAATTGCTTAAGGTCTCAATTGTCAAATGGGAAAGAATAACGTGGCCAAATATAAACCACATAGAAACTTAGTGCAGGTGACAACATGAGAATCCACTTCAAAGGATTCATACCCCCCTCACGTTGCTTCTTCATTGCTCAGAAATGTACATCACAAAATTGATTCGATCCCGAGGCCAAATCTTTGTTCAAAAACAAATTGAATCCAAGTAAAGTGGGTTGCTATCTTGCCAAGTATTGTCACCTACAAAATACAAATACTTAAATTTTTTTAGAGTAAATAGTAATTTATGTCCTATTGGGGAAGATAAGATCTCGAGGTTGAATCCCCGACCACTAATCATATTTCTTCCGTCTCACAAATATTTTTTTTTGGTATCAAACTTTTTAATAATATAATTTTTAATAATTTTTATTATAATTAATCATATTCCATCTATCTCACAAAAAAATAATATGGTTCTTTTTTATATTTAACTTTCTTAAAATGTAATTTTTAATTTTATCATAATGATAGGAAATGAATTTCTAAATATATTCTTTTATAATGAATTTATTGTTATTATAACTTTAAAATAAAGACGTAAATTAAAATTATAAAAAATAGTATATTAAATTTTCAATTGAAACAATTATTTTAGAACGATTCAAAAAATATAAAGGTGATTTTTTTTTTTTTTTTTTGTGGGCACGTGGGAGTAATTCATACACTCGATGAAAAAAACAAAAAAAATTCGCCAAACTTGTTTTGTTAGAGAATGTAATTATTAATTGGGTGAAGTGTCCCTTAGCATAAAACCCCCCCTAACTACTACGGAAAAAAAAAAAAAAAAAAAAAGACAACCTCCTAAGCTATTCTATTACATGAAAAGACTAATGTCTTGTGACCACTACACCCAAAGAGCCTCGTCTGTCTTACATATATATATTACACACAAATATATAGTTAAATCCCTGTTCATCTTCTTCACAACACATTATATACATAACAATCTTGTTACCTTTCTCTCTCTTCCCCACCTCCATCGCCTATCTACCAACCAATATTGAAGAGGACGACAGAATTTTTTTAAGTTAATTAAACAGGAAGAGAGTTAAAAAATTATAAAATATAACCATATTGATACATAGGAGATAAGAAAGAATCAAACCTTATATATATATATATATATATATATATGGAAACCCAATTAAGAAAGGATTAAGAATATATATTTATATATATGGGTTGCATATATGGGATGTATATGGAGAATTAGATCCTATATATATAAATATATTCTTAATCAGACTTTATCGGACACACACACATATATATACCCACCAAGCACTCAATATATATATATATAGATACACACAGATTCGCAACCCAACCCTGTTATATAAGAAGAACTTCAGTATTCTTCTGATTGCCACTGTATTCTTTTTTTTAACAGGTCTGTGATAGGTTGGGTGATAAGGTTGGTTGAGTTGTCAAAATAGTTGGTTGAGTTGTCTCATTTTGATTGGCTGTTGAGATTGTTAACAGCCACGTCATCAACTCAAGTGTATAACTTTCAAAACTATATAATTTTAAATAAAAGTAAATATGTCTTTTAATTTTTACCATTATTCTTAAATTGCACCAAATCAATTAACTAAAGGGATTAATTGCAAAATCGATTTTACCACACTTTATCCTTATTAATTTTAAAATTTTAAATGAAGTTTATAGTATGTTCCATATTCCAAGCCAGATACTGAGATACACTGATTCATTGAATCTGGACATGTTGTGACAGGGACCAAAAACATCACATCCAATCACAACATTACAACAGATAAAAAGTCTGCAACGTCACGAGGCTGCATGGAGTTACGAACACCCATCCTCTATTTATATATTCACATATACGGAGTATAATATGATCACGATCACTTGAGGTAGGAGAGAGATCAAAATTCTAGAGAGAGAGGATTCTCCATAAGGAAAATGCCAGAAAATAATTTCTTCACAGAAATTAAAATACCTCAGCAAAAGATCTACAACAATACAATTCTCTTCCCTACAGTTCTATCTCCAAACCCCAACACAGTCCCAAACAATTTCTCTATTGTTGTAGAAGAAATCAAAGCTCAGAAGCCATGGTTGGACTGTATTCTTCACAAAACAGGGGCTATTCTCCTCAGAGGATTTCCGTTAACAACTGCTTCTCACTTTAACGGCGTCGTCGAAGCTTTCGGCTTCGATGAACTACCGTATGTGGGTGGCGCCGCCCCAAGGACCAACGTTGTTGGTCGGGTTTTCACTGCCAATGAGTCTCCTCCTGATCAGAAGATCCCTTTTCATCATGAAATGGCTCAGGTACTTTTTTGACAATTTACGTGCCATTTTATTTTATATTTTTTCTCATTTACAGATTTAAATAAACACATTTTTTTTATAATTGTTTATTTATATATAATTAATTCCTTTTCATATATGTTATATATATATAAAATAAAAAGATACATATTGTGATTGTTAAAAATAAATTGACTTGATGTTGAAATCAATTGTGTTTGTATCTAAATATCTGTTTTTTTAAAGCTAATTGAATAAACCCACCAAATATTGCAATAATGGAGTCTTAATGGTGAATATTACAAGATATGATATTAAAAAGATGGGATTCCTTTAATTTGGACTAGATGTGATGGAATTCAAAGTGGGGTTAGATAGAATTTAAAATTACCCATGAAAAATGGTCGGGCTTCACGAGATTTGTAATTTTTTTGAGTTTTTAGTGTTTTATTCTTTTGGGGGCAAATGAGATTTGTAAATTGTTAAAGCAAACTTTGCAATTTACTCAACATCACTATTCTAATATCCGAAATTCCATTTTGTGCCAGTTACAGAGATGAGATTTGATTTCAAATAGACAAAGATTATCACTTCTTTTACCTTTTTGACCAATTCCCAAACAATTTGATTCCAAATCAAAGTGTTTGTGGAACAAGAAATTTGGACTGTATAACATTGTTGAAGATTGATACATATAACACATATAACTGTAGAATCTTTAATCATTATATTGTAGTTAATGGGTCAATCTTATTTGTTTGTCAATTTGGGAAAAAGCAATTCATGTTTTTGAAATTGTTCTATATATATAACAGGTTCCTGAGTTCCCATCCAAATTGTTTTTCTTTTGTGAAGTGGAACCACAAAGTGGAGGTGAAACTCCTATAGTTCTTAGCCATATCATATATGAGAGGATGAAGGAGAGGTACCCGGAATTTGTTGAACGATTGGAAGAACATGGATTGATCTATACTCGGGTGTTAGGGGAAGACGATGATCCTTCATCGCCAATAGGCCGTGGATGGAAGTCTACATTCTTGACCAAGGATAAGAGCGTCGCAGAGGAAAGGTTTGTTCTTTCATTGAGAATTTGAGGGTAATGATAGGTACGGGAAGATTAAAAAAAATGAAAAAGAAAAAGAAAATAGTATTATGAATTGGGATTGTGTGAGACATTGTGTGGTTTATAAGAAGATTTCGCATGGTTATTAGAAGAATTTATGAAATTAAGCCGAATAATTGGTATAAGATTATGTTGAGTTTATTTACATATTTGATCTTATATATTGAGCTGTTCTCCAAAAACTGAGTTTGTGAAAAATGGTTAGACCAACTTGCTATCATCATCATCCAAGTAAATTTGCCCTGAACATAGCACTGAGTCACTGACCCTCTCTCTTCCCATTCAAATTGCTCATGACTTCAATCTCTGTTGCAAACTATGATGAAGATAACATGTAACTACAATGAGATGATGCAATGAGCTAGTTTGGTAATGCATACAAATGGTGGTAACTAAATTACTCCGCATTTCTTAATTAAGAAAAATTTTCTTGCAAAAATGAATTGCATTTTCTTAGCCTTAAGTTCCTATGGCTGCATATTTTGAAGTAAATAAATTAAATATTTTTGCTGCTTAATAGATAAAATGAATACTTTCTTAGCACTCCAATATGAGCTAGGTTATAAAACAGGACATGTATAATATATAGTGTAGCTCAACAGAGAATTTGATATTACAGGGCTGCCAAGCAAAATACGAAGTTGGAATGGATGGAAGATGGATCAGTGAAGACAATAATGGGTCCAATTCCAGGTATTAAAGTTGACAAGAGCAGACAACGCAAGATATGGTTCAACAGCATGGTGGCTGCTTATACAGGCTGGAAAGATGCACGAAACGACCCTGTAAAGGCGGTGACCTTTGGGGATGGCCAACCTTTGCCGGCTGACATGATCCACGACTGCCTGAAAATCCTAGATGAGGAATCTCTTGCCATTCCTTGGCGAAAAGGTGATGTCCTACTGCTGGATAATCTGGCTGTGCTTCACTCCCGGCGATCATTTGATCCGCCTCGTCGTGTACTAGCTTCGCTTTGCAAGTAAAAGGCTCCTCCATCAATGCCCTGTATGTCACTGTGTGTTAAATAGACACTCTATTTTTAAGATATGTAATAGGAGTAGTTTAACTAGTTTTTATACCTTAATAACACTATTAATGTTTAGTAATTTTGTACTTGTTTATAAACTATTATAATTTTTGTAATAACTTTTTTGGGTAAACTGAACAATCATTTCCTAAAGTTTATTAGAATTACAAAAATCTCTTTTCTGTTTTTCGAAAAATACTCTTGTTGAAAGGGCTAGGGAAAAAGCTAAAATGATTTGTTGAACGTGTGAAACCATAGGGTGTGGTGTGATAGCCTAATAGTAGGGTACTGGTGCTTGGGATCGATTGGCCCAGGTTTGTAAAAAGAAGCTCTCTGTCGTTTACAAAAACTGTCTATTAACCTCAAGTACATAATTTATTATATTATCTATTCATATTTTTAAAAGTATATCATATCACCCCCTCCTCCCATTAGTTGACCGTCTAAAATTTATGAGTCTTATCAAGTGCACCATATACTGTATTATGCTGACCAAAATATCCTTGTTCTCTCGTAATGATGAAATTGTCCTTCTCAATATAAAACAACTGTCTAAAATTTACGGGTCTTATCACGTGCACCATATACTGTATTATGCTAACCAAAATACCCTTGTTCTCTCGTAATGACGAAATTGCCCTTTTCAATATAAAACAAATTGCACAGGTTTTTATAGATCAAAGCTTCAGTTTTGTTATCTTCTTCTCTCTCATTTCAGTGGTGTGGTATCATCCTGCATTATGCTGACCAAAATACCCTTGTTCTCTTGTAATGACAAAATAGCCCTTCTCAATATAAAACAAATTGCACGGGCCTTTACAGATCAAAACTTCAGTTTTGTTATATTCTTCTCTCTCGTTTCAGTGGGGTGGTATCCTCCATAGCAGCAATAACTGAAGTTATAGTCCTTCATTGAAGCTGTAATTGATTGATTGAAGTCCCCAATTGATGATTTGAAGCCCTAAATCATAGCCTGTGTTAGCTTTAAGTTGATTATTTGAAGCCCTAAACCGCAATCATTTTGTCCAAGAAAAGTAACACGAACCACTTGGAATCCACCAAGATTTTCGACGACTGAGCAATTATAGACACAAGACACGTACATTACACTTGCTTTCAACGATTACACTCAACACTCGCTTCCAGCACTCGCCTCCATAACACTCAGCGCATGCATACAAACACAACACAACAATTTAGGGCATAAAATCATTTTATTAGATTATACAATCCACACGACATCGTTTCACACGAAGGGTATACACCCCCACATGACATCGTTTCACACGAAGGGCATGTACCCCAATACGACATTGTTTCACACGGGTATAATTGCCATTTAAAAAACACAATTTCATTTTAATAAAATATTAATATACTATCAAGGGCATTATTATCGTTTCGTAGTCCCTCAACGGTTCTGTAACGGAAAAGGGCAAGGTGACAACTTATGTTAGTTCAGGTTTTATTTATTTTTAATTAATTAAGGGGGTTATATGTAGTTTTTGTATATAACAGGGGAGTTCTATGTTCTAAGCCCAAAAAAAAATTACTCAAAGGCTAGTCGTCAGTGGACATATGTATGAACTCATAGAGCCAGGCCGTAGTATGTTTTTAGGCCCAAGACTTACATTTGGGTGGACCAGGGCCTTGAGTTATTTTTTTAAGGCCCTTGGCCCAGGTGCACTGCAATGGTAATATGATTCAAAATCAAATTATGGTGGAATTACTCAACACTCCCTTCCAACACTCAGCGCACCAAATCAATAAACAGAACAAAGAAAAAAATTTATGAATTATTTTTCTCCTATTTCATCAATTCTAATTTCAAAATTTTAATTTCATACTAATGAACATAACATTCAAAATACACCATAACTGAACAATGAGTTTCTAATTACTTTATAGTAAAAAGATACTAACTTGTTTCAATCAAGAATTTAGAAAACTTCATGATGATATAAAAGTAAAGCACCCAGTGGAGAGTCCTCCGCAAGTGCTTTCATGGTAGGACAAAAAGCATGGGTTTGGGATAATGTGATTTAATTGCTCAACAACCAAGGCGCATGTTTAGCATTAATTTTTCACATGCTTGAATAAAAATCATTCTTTTTTGTTATTTTGGGACATAAAGGAGGATTTCAACACAATGTTAATTAAACACACTTATAACTTTAATATCAAGAAATTCAAACCAGTTTTGCTTTCTATCTAGCATTTTTTGAAACGAAATTTCAAAAAAATTGATGAATAATTCAAATGATCGTCAATTCAATCCGTACAAGAACAGGTTGGTTCAGTGAATTGAATTTCTTTAAATAACAAAATTTTTTATTTTATTTTTATTATTTTCTAACAACATCTCAATTATAAATTTTAAAAGCGTAATTATAAAGTGAATATATTTATATACATGTAAGATCGGATTGGTTCAAGTTGATTTTTTTAATTTATTTTCCTTCTGATATGTCAACCACATGATTAGTTCTTCTAAAATTCAATATGTAATCGAGCCGACATAGCACCTTCGATTCAGACCTAATTATCGTTTGAGCTGGATCCGTGTGTATCCAAAAGCCAGTTGCTCAAATTATTGCAAATATGATTTAAAGCTATGTTGGTAGGCAGCAGATGGTTAAATGGGTGGTCTAAGTTTAGATCGAAAACTTAAAAGTAGGAAGAGAATCTTGTGGTCCATAGACACGCGTGTTCTGCTTGCGTTTCTCTTACAAGAGCAATACATCATTGTAAATTTTTAACATTCTGTCGTGTGTGTGTGTGTGTGTGTGTGTGTGTGTGTGTGTGTGTGAGAGAGAGAGAGAGAGAGAGAGAGAGAGAGTCAGAGAGATTGATTATTAGTGTGCTTAATGTAATCTCGACTTTAAAGCATAGTAAAAGAACTAGTAGAATAGAAGTCAAGTCATTATCAAACAAAAGTAAGCGGATTCTTCAGCACTAATTGTGGGTTATATTATTAACTAAAATAACCATTTTTAAGAATGAAAATAGATAAGTAGGGCTTGTTTGATTTGTATTTTTAAAAACAGTTTTCAAAAATTCAGAAAACAAAAATCGGTTCTCGAATAACAAACTTTTATAGTTTTTTGAAAATAAACATTTTTGTAACTGAGTCTGAACTAAGTAGAGATTTTTGTATTTTCAATTTTGTGAGAACAGTTTCTGTTTTCATAATTACAAATCAAACAGGTCCTTCCTTTCTACCTTCTTCTTCTTCTTCTTCCTTTTTTTTTTTTTTTCAAAGGTAATATACATTGAATTGAAGGTAATATACATTGAATTGCATCATGGGTATGCACAACTAATGGAAATCCAAACCTTAACCAATAATTAAGAAAAGGGGTTTTCACAATGATTGTTATCAACATCTTGCTTTTCTGCCACCAAATCCATGCTTCATAATTAATCACAATCACAATCACAATCACAATCTATATCCATTAATATCTTACCTATCAAAAGTGGAGAATTTGATGTGTATGCACTCATTTGCTCAAATTGTGCTTCATATACATGCCCTATATATATATGGCATCAACGACATGATCAAGCTTCCCATGTTGACCGAATCAACACTAAAAGAAGTGTGTCACATTTCTTTTCAACTCACATGTCATATACATATATGGTGGTACAGAGTGAGGAGTGAGGAGGACATATGTGGGGTTGTAATTTGTTTGTGTTGCGGATGCCAAAGTTAGGGATGTTGAAAATTTATAACAAGAGGCAGCAGCCTCCAGCAGTGACATTTCTGGATTATTCTAGTACGTGTAACAAAGATACTTGCATCTATTTTACAATCGATTTGTCTGATTTAAAGAATTTTTATTAATCACGTGTAATAGTTAAATTTAAGTACGAGTTTCATTCACTAACATCAAAATATACAAATTTACGTACCAGACAAATCGATCTAAAAATTATTAATCTTTGTTTGATTGAGATTTATTGAATTGTGCTTACTTAAACAGTATCAATTTATAAACAGTTAAAATTGTTTAATTTTGGCTTTTAAATGAGATGAATCTAATAGTAACACTTAATTATTTGTAACTCATTTCATTCAATTAATGATCTTAAATAGCCGCCACACTTTTCAAAGTATTATTACCCTGTTTCTGTTATAAGCAGAATCTAACACTTTTAAATTGGACACTTAGCGTTGTATTATATTTTCTAATCTAAAAATTTAAATTATTAAATAGTGTTAACTATCAATATATACAAAAAAATTAAATTATTAAATGATATTAAATACCGAGTTATGCATACTCAACACATTTTTCGATTGAATTCAACCTAAGACAAGAACATCTAACAAATACATACTCGATCACATGTAGCTTGGGAATATCACATCAACGGAGTTGATGCAATATGACTAGTACCTATATTTGTCTGTGTTGGGCTCTATTATTAAACTTCCATTGAGAAAACAAACATCATTACACGTATGCATACCACCATCCTATATTAGATTAATCTCACTCTCTCTCTCTTTCATATATACCTACCCAAAACGAGAGCACGAGTATAGTGACATCTCACAACTTCACTTGTTAACACACAGTCCACGTTCTTATCATCCTCTTAAATCGTTGCTTGATTCAAGGGTCAAATCTTTTGAATATTGCTATTGTGTTTTAGTATTCACATACACTATTCATATATTCATTTTACTTTTTTAGAAATTTGAATTCTCGTCATCCATTTTAAAAAGTAAAGAAGATATCACTAGATTACAAGACTCTTTGTAGAATCGGGTGAGAGGTTAATGCTTATAAATCTTATTCAATGCATTACATCTAACTTTATAAATCTTATTCAATGCATTACATCTAACTTACAATAATGAACTATAATGCAATTTAATTGTGTTATACAAAGATTTTAATTTCATTATTTTTAATTTTAACACAATTGTTTTTCAAACTCGAAGTAGTGGTATTGTTTAAATAGAGAATTGCTTACTACTAAAAACCATCTTTTGTGAATTTAATAAAAGGGGCATCTTCTGTAATTTTAAATATAACACTATCCTCCTTTGTTAGTGTTGATTTTGATTTATAGTTGTTAAATGACTATTATATTCATTATAATTTATTATTTTTTAATATAAAATATATATATTCTTTTATAGATAATAGTTTTAAGTATGAATATTCCCGAGTTTTAAGTAAATATTAAATATGACATTAATAGATAATTGTGTCAGATTTTATAAAAAAAGAGATCAGCATTATATTTAAAATGAAGTGGAATGTCCATGTTATTTAGACAATACAAGTAATTTTTTTTTAACAAATGAGATCAAAAGTATTACTCATTTTAATAAAGTGTAGGTTCTCTCAATAAACTCGCATCCTTTTCATCACCGGATTGACAATGCCCTCACTAAGTTTTGACTCTGAATTCATCCTACATTGAATATTTGGACCCACCTCACATTTTAATTCGAAAGAATCATTGTGGGCACAGTCGCAAAAGTTTGGATGCTATATAAAAATGCAGGTTTGAATTGTTATTAGGTATAATAAATACTAACATAGACATTTTGGCAATTATAGTAGGAAAAACATGTCTATGTGTTGTTATTAGGTGTACTAACCCTCAGACCTATTGTATTGACTCTGCAAATCTTTGTAGGTTTTCTAAGAAAACAAGCCAGCAGTGTAACCTAGGAATAGTACAATTGAAATAATTTTTCCCTATATACAAACATATGTATCATTGTCAAACCATTACTGTTCCATGTTCTTTTCAATGGAAATTGTCCCCACACGTGTGACGATAATTCTAATTGCCATTTTAATCAAACATCTAGCATTCCCTCCAGAATTGGAAAAATTAAGCAATTGGCTATATGTCACATGAATTGTAGGTGGGTTTTTGACTTTAAGAAAATAATGAGAAGACCTGTTAAATGGACTAAAATAGTTTTTTAATGGAGGTGTTCTGGTTATTACTGTATCCACCAATCAATACAGAGTCGTTACACAATTTTGATGGACTGCTGATAGGAGTCAAAAAAATTAAAAATTAAAAAAATAAAAACAATGAGGATCTCTAAATTTTTAACTCATTAAATTTTTAGGCTGTAATTAATATAAATCATTCCGTACTTCACAGTTGATTGTACATATAAAGTAATGATAAGGAGATTTATTTATTGTTTTCTTCAAAAGTTAAGTAAATATACATATATTTACAATATTGTCCTTAGCTAAATTATCAATCTTAACCTTCTTTTCACGAAGAAAAGGTTGTACCAATTAAACTACTCCGTAATACTTATAGGGTAATTAACGGACACCTTAACTTTTAATAGTACCTTAAAGCAATGTCATATTTTCTCTGGAATATTTGGGATTAATTCAAACTATCCAATGGTTGTAATTGATAGCTCAAGGAAGTGTCCTATTCATATCCATCTTTTAATCCTTTTGTGACTGTTGGTCTATGAACAGCCAGAGTGAGGAGAGAGTGATAATCGGACAAGATTATGGGATCTTCAAGAAGTAAAAAAGGGATCATACAAATCTTCTTCCACTTTCTCTCTCCTAATCCTTTTGGTTCTCTTTCTAAAACATTACATTAGCAGGGCCTTATAAAAGGCAATTCAGCCTAATTAAGCCTCAAGTCTCTCATCTTTATAGTAATTTACATGATGAAGCATGATTAAGGAGGACTTCCACGGTTACAAGTTATCACACTCTTTAATCAATCCGACTTTCTCTCTCTAAATTGGGAATCTGGTAAAGGGGGATGTTTGGGGTAGTGTGCTTATAAGGGTAGGTTGTTGTAGTGTGTGTCGTAGTCTCATAGACCCAGAGGAAAAAAAGAGAGAGTAATATCCATCTTTTTCTTTTTAGGAGGAGGTCAGCACCAGCACGCTTTGCTTGCTGAACCAAACAACAACATATATGTTTTGGTTGCGTGCTTTATCCTCTAATATCTTTCCTGTTTTGGTGTCCTCTGAGCTAAGGAATCTGTCTTCTTCTTTACTCTCTTTTCTCTCTCTCTCTCTATCCTTTTCCTTCGATCTTGGCTAATTGACTAATTGTTATATGTGTTTGGCTTTCAAATTTGGAGAGTTTCTCTTGGGTTTTTTCTGAAACAAGGTTAATTTGTGGAGTTTTTTTTTCCCTTGTAATGCTTTTGAGGATTCCATTCCTGTCTAGCATCTGGGGTGTTTGATTTTGGGTCAAAGCAGATTTGACCTTTGCCTTTTTTTTTTTTTTGATGGTTTGAAGATGTGGGTGTTCATAGTTTTGAGCTTTGGTTGATTAAGGAACAAGTACTCAAGTTTTTGTTTATTCACATGTAAGTTTTTGAGTTGAAGATTTGTGTATTTCAGATGTTTGTGGTTTGTCTCTAACTAGGATATATATATATATATATTTCATTTTGCAGTGAGGTTTCTTGCTAATTCTGGTGTCAAACTAGGTGAAAGAATGGAGGGATGTTCGAGAAAGGATGCGGAGCACTGTCCTCAGTTGCTAGATTTGATACATAAAGACAGAGAATGGCTTATGCAAAGAGATGAAGAAAGAAGCCATGGATCTTCAGAGGAGAAAAAGCTTGAGTTAAGGCTTGGTCCACCAGTTGAAGACTGGAAAATCGACTCTACAGAGAGACACGAGCCTCTTCTGTCTCTTGGGTACTTCTCTAACAACAGCACCAACACTTCAGGTTCAAAGAGAGGGTTTATGGACACAGTTGACAGGAACAGGAAGTCTATGGAGGATTCTTGGCTCATGACAACAAATAGAAGCCAAACCCAAAAGTTTTCTCCTCCAGAAAACCCAGTTGGGACTGTCTTATCATCTCCATGGTCATCTTCATCAACCCCACAAAGCTTGGCTGTTATGGCAAAGGAATCTTCACAGCCATGTTGCAGTACTAAAGTGGTAGACTTGCAGAATGCAGAAAAGAAGACATTTTCACCACCTTCTCCAAAAACAGCTGTCCCAAACAGTTCCCAGAAAAGGTACCCCAGCTTTTTCCTCCTTGGTACACACACTCTTTTGGACAGAGGATATTCACTCATCACATAATCACTTTGCTAGATGTGATGGTCCATGCATAAATCTTTCACTTTTTTATGTTTCTAATGTCCAATGGGTTTCATTATTATTTAAATTTCTGGTTTATACTTTATTTCTCTGTTTTTGTGAAAGTATTATTTTTTACTAATTGTTTGTACTCTTTTAGGTAGAGATTTTTATTGCATTTTTGTTTCTGTAACAGCTGTTAGCATGTTTTGTCAATTTGATCCTTTTCCTCTTTTGTGTTACTCTTGTTGTTTCTTCCTATCTGATGGCATAATATGTGTACGTACAAGATAAGATTATTAATAATTTAAAATAGTACTATATACCATATTCACCTTTTCCAATAATAATTGTATTCAGATTCCAGAATATATATATATATATATATATATATATATATTTTTCCTGTTAAAAGTTTCATGGGTTGACATTATGGAGGGGTTTTAGATAATACTACCTAAGAGAATTTTCATACTAACAGCTTTTCTAATTCCCCCGTTTTTACTTTTGATTAGGGTACATGTTTGCCATCTATATATGTTTTGTGCTGGTGCTTGAATTTGATCTCTTTATTTGAATTTACACATTTTGTTTCTCTATGGACTTCAATGTAATTGCCTCTTGTGAATTGTGACTAATTTGTGTTACTTGCCATCTAATTTCTCAAAAGAAATGCTCCTGCTCCAGTTGTGGGTTGGCCTCCAATTCGTTCATTTAGGAAGAACCTTGCAAGTAGCAGCTCTTCAAAACCGCCCCCCGAGTCACAAAATGTGGTCCTGAACAAGGTTGCTTGTGAAAAAGCCAAGGAAAGTTGCCGAAAAGGATTGTTTGTGAAGATCAATATGGATGGAATCCCCATAGGAAGGAAAGTGGATCTCAATGCCTATGACAGCTATGAAAAATTATCTTCTGCTGTTGATGAACTCTTCAGAGACCTTCTTGCAGGTTATTACCATTACTTAATGATTTTACCCATGTGTGCGTTTGTTTACGACTACATATGCATTTGGTTGGACAGGGAATGAGTATGGGATTTCTTACTAACTGGTAAATCGACACGGTCAACATAGGTTTAATTTGAAACTTATATACAAATTAAATGTCAATCTTTTAGTGACAAAATCATATGATTTATAGTTATATATACATGTAATTTTAATTGGGTAGCCTCTTATATTTATGTTATATTTCTTTGACATCATTGATTTGATGGTTTCTCTAGCATAAACAAAACACCAATTTAACTGTAGTTTATCCTGCAAAAACAAAAATTGCACCATATGGGTTAACCTGTTGTATCAAAAATTTCATCTTTTAGGGGTGTTTTATTTGGATTATTGACTGTTATTTAGCTTGAAATTGGGTCATATTTATGGCAACAAAATTATAACAGAACTGTGATTATCTCATTATGTTTGTCTATTCTTTCTCTGTTTAGCTCAAAGAGAACCCTCTGCTGATGGAATTCAGATTAAGGAGGGAGAGAAAACGATTACCGGCTTGTTAGATGGAAGTGGGGAATATACCCTTGTATATGAGGATAATGAAGGAGACAGGATGCTTGTTGGGGATGTCCCATGGCAGTAAGCATCTTTACCTCTGTGGATCTAATTCAGTTTAACATATCCAATCACATTTTATATGTCTTGTGAAATCTTAATCTAGCGGTACCTTGCTATAGATTGCATACTTTACTTTATAAATAGATAGTTTTCTGGACATAGATTTGCAGCATCTTTATATCTGGCATTGTTATTCTACCATATATTGCAACAGATTGTGTGTTCTAACTTGGTTATCGGACATGTTAATTGCAGCATATTTGTATCTACAGTGAAGAGGCTGCGCGTGTCAAAAAGCTCTGAACTTCGCACACTGTGCTGTGAGTTTACTTTTAATCCCATTAAATTTAGGCTTCCTACATGCATAACTTTTTGCATTCTCCTAACTCAACAAATGGAAATTAATGGGGGCTTTTGAACTTTGCAGTTGGCAGTAAGCAACAAAAGATCACCCCTGATGCTGCACTTAAATGAAGAAAAAGCAAAGAATCTTCCCTTAGATTTGGAGGAGACTTGAGAGATATTTTAGGACACAAAAGGTCATTTGTAGTTCGCAACCCCAGTTTCATGTTGTATCGGCATATAGATGGACTTGTTTTTCCTTCAATTTTCCCATGTTTTTGGCTTCTATTGGATCATGTAGCAAGAAGAGAAAAGCTACATAGACATATGGTTGTACATTGTTTCTAAGAACACTATGGTTGTGACTTGTGGCTAAAACCACGTGTGTGTATATATATAGGCTGTTAAATATACCTGTGGCTTGGACGAAAACCTATGGGTTTACTAAACTCATATTTTGAAATTAAACGAGGTTACCTACTGCTTCCTGGTCGACTTCTCCTCTGCTTATTTGAGTTTTCAACCTTCTCCTCTTCTGTATTTCAAAATTTTGAGGCTTTGATTCATCATTGGAATCTATGACAAATTAAGAAGATAATTCAAGATTTGATCCTTGGTGATCTCAAGCATTTGAAGTTATTTTTTTTTAAATTTTTTGGTAAATTAATTTATTAAAAAAAATTAAAGAAAATGAGAAGAGGAGAACTATACGGAAGGGGGAAAAAAAAAAATTTGCAGTCACAAAGCTTGCAGGAAAGCAATCTGTTGCGAACACTCTTTGTATAGAAGATTTTGAACAGTACCCAAAATACATTTAGAGAGTTAATTGACTACTTAATTAACTAGTCGTACTTAATCAACTAGTCGTACGGAATTGAAATTGAAATTGGAATTGGAATTGATTTTTCATGATGTTTGCATTAGTTACCATCTCTTTTTTCTTTTCTTTTTCCATAGGGGTAAAGTCTAGAAAATACCTACCTAATTTTCAATTTATGCGAATTACACCCTTCCTATCATATTCCGTAATTGCCCCTCGTCGATTTTGTTGCTGCAGTTTGAGGCTCTACCCTTGCCGACTTCAATTTAGGCTTCTAGCTCAGTATCGAATAATTCGCTGGTGTGATTCGACCAGAACTGCAAGCTTAACCTCCGGTGTGATCCCAAAGGTAAACCCACTTTGATTTCTCCCTCTAAGCCAATACCCCAAATCTTACGCTCGCCGGGTTAACCGAGAATTAGGCCGGCCGGTATTCCTCAAAGCAATCGGCGCGATTACTGATTGCCGGGTTTAACCGAGACACAGAATGGGTCTTCATTTAGACTGCTTGGCGAGCAAGAAGAACGTGAGTTCGGCGAGGATGAAATCGGCATCGGCTGCGGAGAAGAGCTAGGCTGACTTCGGAACGGCGGTGACGGGCGCGAGCAGCGAACCAGCGATGAGCTGTGGAGAGCTCTGGTCCGGCCGTGAGGACGGCGGGCTGTGAGAAGAACGGCGGCGAAACGGCTACTGGGTTTTGGGTTTGGGTACGGCCGGTGGAGAGCGCGGCACCGGCGGATGAACAGCGGCTGTGGACGGCTCGGCCGGTGGAGACGATGGGGAGGGCGAGGTCGGCGGGTGGAGGGCTCGGCTGGATTGAATCGGCAGATGGCTTGACTGACGGCGGAATGGACCGACGAGGGACGGACAATGCAGAGAGAGATTTAGAGAGAGAAAATTTATAGAGAGAGAGATTGGATTGCAGTCTGCAGCGCGATTGTAAAGACCCTTTTTATATTCGACTACTTTCCATTTTCCACCGCCGTCAATTTGGGAATGGAGAGAGAAGCCAAGAGTATTGTTCTGAACGACGAATAGATTTATGAATGTGCTCGGGATGATGACGCTGAACGACGGCCAACAAGGTCTGATGATGAGTTGAAACCGCGGTGACTGCCGGCGGCTATGCAAGGATTTTTTCTCCAACAAACATTGTTTCTATAATTGTTTAATTTTTTTTCACATCTTACCTGGGGAACTTATCCTCTTAGTGAACCGAAAATTGAAGTTGGGAAATTCAGAATTTTCGATAAAATATCACCTGATAAATAAAAAAAAACACCAACAACATAAGCGTACACAAAGTTTCTATAATTGTTTAATTTTTTTTCAATAACAAGAAGTGTTCTTTAGCTATTCAACATGCAGCCAAGATTTTAGTAAAATTCTATAATTGTGTTTCTGGCAGGTCTAAAATGACGGCGGGGCAGGCGAGTGTAGATGAAGAATTGACTTTATTGTATGGTGATAATTTTATTACAACCGGATTGCTAATCAGTTTTGTTTTTTTGTTTTTTCCCGAATAGTTAAGCAACTGTTATAGATAAGAAAATAATTACAAGGACTTATGGCCAAAGCCCAAGTAGGGACAAGCCCAAAGGCAACAAGGAGAAAACCTAACCCAAGAACCCAATGTTCAGCCCAAGGAACAAGCAAATAATCTAATAAATCACTGGTTTGTAGCCATTAATTGAGAGAATTGCACAACATTCCGGTGGACAACCAAAGATGGCCGCGATCAGAGCAGCTCCGCACCACAATCAATCTGGTGGACGTGGATAGAGGATAATAATGCAAATTGAAATGGGGATAAATGTCCAGTTATCAAATTGGGATAACGTGATAATGGATTAGGAGTTTATTTTTCATTGCGCCTGTAATTCCTAGCACTCAGACCCATTCTATATCTTTAAAATCTTATACTTCTATAAACTTGTTTGAACGTCCCACCAAAAAAAAAAACAGCACATTGTGTTGCATTTTAAAAGAAATTTTGCTTTCATCAAATTTCCATACTTTTTCATGAAGCTGACCTTTCAACTTCAAGTGAACTATATCCTATAACTCTTTGAACTCCTCTCTCATTTATTAGGCTTCTAATCTTGTGGACATCATCCCATCCTCCCTTGCTTGCATAAGTATTTAATAGTAGCTTATAGTAACCTGCTGTTTTTGGATGCAATTCAACCATGCTCTCCGCTGCTGATTTCCCTATGTCAAACTTTCCATGTATCTTACAAGCACCGAAGAAGGCACCCCAAATGCTGATGTCTGGTTCCATCGGCATTTGCTTGATGAACTGAAAGGCTTCGTCAATGAAGCCTGCCCTCCCAATAAGATCAACCATAGTAAAAAAGCGCTCCTCCATCTTTGGTTCAATTGCAAACTGTCCAACCATATAATCAAAGACTTTGTGGCCTTCGCTAACCATTCCGGTGTGACTACAAGAAGAAAGTACAAGAAGGAAACACATGTTGTCCAAAATTTGGTCTAACTATACCATATCATATAATATAGTATTATTTATTTAAATATTATTTGAAAATATAATGTGTGTGAATATATATATATAATTATTATTATAATATAATATATATATATATATATATATATATATATATATATATATATATATATATAATTTCTTATAATATATAGTTTAATATAATAAAATAGAAACTATAAAATAAAAGAACCTGATTAAAAGTCGAAGTTAGAATTTGATTCAATATCCTTAAGACAGATTCGCCTCGCTATGGTGCTAACGGAGTCAGTGGCGTCTATCTTCGAAGATACAACAATTTGTCTTCCTTCGGTAGTAGTATTGCAAACTGAAGGAATAGGCGAACCGGCTCGGTGTAGTACTCTCTAACTCAAACTCGGACTCGGACTCACAGATAAGACTCAAACCCACAGACTAAGGCTTGAACCCAAAAGAAGAGAGAAGGAAGAAGAGAATTTAGAAATGAGAAGAAGTATTCTGAATTGGTGTGATTTATAAATGATTCAAAGGGGGATATTTATAGGTAGCAAGGTGCCTTTTCGAGTGGATGCAACCATGGGTTATGATGGTTCGGAAAAATGTGCAAATTTTTTAATTTAAATTCAAAAAACCAACCACCCATTTGTGAAACCCATTTAAATAAGCCCAACTCAAAAATAGGCTCAATTCAAAATTCCATTTAGTAAAAAGAATAATTCGGACTATACAATTAGGCCCAAGCTTAAGCCCAAGCCCAAATCCTAAACTTAGCTAATTTTAATTTCAATTGGTTTCAACATTTTTTCCTATGTAGGATAAGCACTTCCCACATTTTGCATACCCATTTAGGCTTATCAAAACACCACACTTTGGAGCTAATTTTTCATTCACCCGGAAATGGATTTGAGAAAATAAATATATCGAATGCTTTCGTCTATAGATTCGCAAAAAATTCTTAGCGGACTTTATTCCAAATTTCATCCAAAGTTTCTGTTTTGTATACCTTGTTTCCAACAATCCCCCACATGAATGGAAGTTGGCGTCAATTGCAAATGAAGAAAATACAGACACTAGAGAGAGTATTGATGTGTGTTTTTATTTATCAATAATAAAATACCACTGGCAATAGAACGAATCCTTGTAGGATAGGGTTATGTTGAAGGTGTCGAATCTCAAGGACTGTGGTGGTTTATCGAGTTTTCAATTAATATTATTTTAATTTAGAAAGAGGATTTGATTTAATGTGTTGTGCTGCAATTCAATAATATAAAAGAAAATAAACAAAATAATAGAATTGAGATCAAGAGAAGAAATACTTAGGTATTGACTTCACCACGAACCTCATACTATGGTCAACTGTTCAACCTTGGGATTTCAATAGTTATTTATCATAGGGAATTAAACTCAATAACATTCGTTTAATTTAGATTTAAAGAAAGATGTTCCATTAATTTCAATTAACTATAACCTATCTTCGGTTAGTACGAATTATCTACCTACCTACTTCTAACTAATTTTGCAGTATAACTCATCTTCCTAAGGCATAGACTGTGAAAACATTCATTCATGAAAAATGTTTGAACACCATGCATGATCTCTATTCTTATGTCCGATAGGCCTCCACCAAATATCGTCTAAAAAGAATGGGTTGAATATAATTTAAGAACAATTAAATCTAAGATAAGGTATTAATCATTCAAAAACTATATAATCATTAAAAACCAATTGAATTCAGTCAATTGTCCAAAATCATGCAATCAAAATATATAATATATTAAATTCCCAAAGTACAGAATAATCAAACCATAGTATTCGGATTCGGGCTACATTAATGCCTTAAGAGAGGAATTAGCTACTCATGATGACGCAAGATATCATCTGTGTTGTTATAGTCTTCATCGCCATGGACCGCCAAAACTCCTTTTGGATCTTTTTCTTCAAAACCCTAAAAGCCGACATGAGAAAGATTAATAATTATCGAAGATAGCTCTTTTTTGTGGCCTTCTCCTCTTCTTTTATAGTGGAAAACAAGTCCGAATCCCCTTTGGATTGGTTTTCTAGCTTTTAGTAACAATTGGGACTTTAAGGAAATAAAGAGAGGTGAAAATATATAATTCCCGCATGTATTTTTAACTTCCAGGATGTTAGAGCTCGAGCTCTGGAGTCAAGACTCGAGCTTTTAGGTACAAGG